GCCGGCGCCGGTGCAGCCGCATCGGCACCCGGCGGCCGCTGCCTTTTAAAGGGGCAGGGTGTTATTCCCGGGGCCGGGGAGCCCCGCGCCCCCTCCCCGCCTCCCCATCCCTCCTTGCTCCCCGCCCCGGGTGCCGGGACACCCCTCCACCTCGCTCCCGGCAGGTGTCTGGAGGTACGTGTCCCCATCACATCCACCGCAAAGCGCACCAATGTGCGCACCCAGGTTTCATCTCGACGTAACAAGGACATTTTTCTACAGTGAGAGCAATCGTTCACTGAAACAACCTCCCCAGGGACGTGGTAGAGTCCCCATCGCTGGAGGTTTTCAAGATGCGACTGGACAGGGTGCTAGATAATCTTATCCAGGCTCCCTTTCCCACGAAAGGTTGGGCCAGGTGATCTTCCAAGGTCCCTTCCAGCATGGGCTGTCCTATGATTCTTCCTCCCAAGGCAGACCGTGCCCTTGGTTCCTGTCCTGCCCACTGGGACTCGTACAAGCACGCAATCATTTTGGTTGGAGGTTTGGTCCAACCCCTGCCTGGGGCAGGTCGCTCAGGGCCTTGCCCATCACACCCGAGTATCCTCACAGACAGAGAACCCACCGCCGCATTGGGCACTGGTGCCAGTGCTGCACTACCACTACTTTTTCTCTCTATGGGGTTGACATTTTCACTGCACACCGCTGAGAGGAGTGAGGCTCCTTCTTCCCTGTATCGCCTGTGAGGCAGCCAGGGACAGCAGTTACATCCCCCTTGGCCTCCTCTCCTTGAACAAGCCTCTTCTCATACACCTTGCATTTGCACATATTGGGATGTGAAACCGTGCAGAAGGGATACCCGACAAGCCGGCAGCCTGGCATTAGCTTTGCAGTGGCTGTACTCTGGCCAGGAAAAGCCCCCCTCTTTCCCCTTGCACCCTTGGAGCAAGGTGGCCACCATGGCCCCTGAGGGCTGCGAGGAGCGGACGCCCTCAGGGCTGCATTGCTGGGCGAAGAGCCACCGATGTCCCCCCACGGTTGCAGGTGTTTAAAGGTCAGTGGTT